GGGCCGGCTCCGTGCTGCTCCTGAGGCAGGTGAGGAGAGCTGGGGGGCTCCTTATCCCACCCCAGTGGGGTCTGATGCCAGGGGAATGCAGGGTGGTGATACAGCACATTGCCTGTCCCATTCCCAACCCCATTAAACCCCAGAACTGGGACTGTAAGTATTAAGATAAGGGGATAAGAGAAACCAGTGCATGTGGTACATCCCTGTTCCCATTCCATTGCACCCTGGCACTACAAATACAAGAAAAGGATCTCCCACAGTTTTTCACCTCAGGGTTTTTCTCAACTCTTGCTAAAATTTCACCCTTCATTTCCTAAGATTTCCATAAATGGGGCACTGTAATTCGGGGGGTTTATCCAGGAGCTGTCTCTGCCCTCTCTGCAGGTCGGGGTCTTCTCCCCCTCCCACCGCAACCACTACCTCAACGTGACCCCCACCAACCTCCTCAGGATCTTCCCACCTGAGCCCGAGGGCTGCTCCCCCCGGCAGGTGAGGAGGGGGCACTGCTGGGACCCCCAGGGAGGTCTGGGCTATGGGGACCCCCAGGAGGAAGGGGGTGGACTGGATGAATCCCCCAATAATTCATCCCCACTGGGTTTTGCAGGTCCCTGCCCAGGCTGAGCCGGCTCCAGACCCCCCTGCACAGCCCACCCGGGGTGTCCCTGCTCCTGAGGACTGGGGACAGTCGAGGACAAGTGGACACAGTGCAGAGCAGCGTCCTGGGGGCTCCCTGTGCCCACCGAGCTCTGATCCCAGCTGGGAAGAGCCAGCAGGAGCTGATGGATGTGACATGGGTGAGTCAGACCCACTCTGGGAGGGGAGGAAAAGCTCTGTGTCCTCTGGAAAGCATGTTCCCAACCTGAACAACTCCACCATGACACAAAACTCACGTCCTGCTGTGCCCTGCAGATGACCTGGACGGGCTCCTGGGAGAGCTGCCCGAGGATTTCTTCTCAGCCCCAGCTCAGGTGGACTGTGGCTGAGCCCAGCAGAGGGTGACAGTGCCGAGGAGCAGGTGACACACCTGCCACCCACCCACCTGCTCCTCCCTCTGCGTGTCCGTGCTGTTCGTGGTGGAGCTGAGAGCTGGGGAGGCCCGGGGGAAGTGTCCTCAGCACTGTCCCCAATCCTGGGGCACAGGGGCCCCTCTCGCTCCCAAACCTGCATTAAAGGGCTGTTTTGTTTCTGCATCACCTGTGTCCTCGTGTGTCACCCCTCTGTCCTTTCCCTGGCTGGGAGAAGCCGTTCCTGAGGGTCTCACAGCCCCGCAGGACTGAGGGGGGGTCCCCAAATCCCTCCCCATGGGACACCCCCACCTCGCACCCACCAACAGGTTAAACCTCCCCGCACCCCGTGACTCTGTTTACCACCACGAGTTATTTATAGGCCCCTGACTCTGGGATTTGATTCCACATCCGTGTGTGGGGCACAGCCCTATTTATAACCCCCTCCCGAGGCTCAGGGCCCCGCTCGCTGTCCCCGGAGCCTCCCCTGCCCTGCGG